GAGGAGTGGTGGTCTTGGTTACTTATGCCCCCACCGAAGACGAACATCCGTGGAGGGATGCAGGCAAAGCCGATGAGTCAGATGCCTTCTATGACCTCCTGTCACAGGTGCTGGCTGAAGTGGCCCCTCGGGATAGAGTCATCTTGTTGGGTGACTTCAATGCCCGAGTTGGTCATGATGCTGGCACCTGGTCTGGAGTGATTGGAGGGCATGGGCCAGATCAGCTCAATAACAACGGTAGGAGGCTGCTAGATTTTTGTGCAGCCCATGGGCTTGTAATTACCAACACGCTGTTCCGGCATCGGCGCATCCACACAACATCATGGATGCATGCCGGGTCCAAGCAAGAACATCTGCTGGACTACATAGTGACGGACCAGCGGATGCGAGCCCATGTCCTTGACACCAGGACCTACCGTGGAGCTGATCTGCCCTCTGACCATCAACTAGTCATCTGTAAGATGCACCTGCCATTCTTCCACTCCGGTGGTGGGTGGACACCCAGGACCCCATTCCAACCTAAAGTGGCCTGGTCTCAGTTATCTGATGAAAGTTGGAAGTGAGAATTTCATCATCGCTTGCGGCTGGGGTTGGCATCGTCCCCCACTCTTCCTGATGTTGAGGGTAAATGGGCGAGGTTTAGGACTGTGACTCATGCAGCTGCAATGGCTGCTTTGGGTACGTGGTCCAGACCTCCCCAGAGACCCTGGCTGACAGAGGAGTTGTTCAGGATGGTTGAGAAAAAGCGACAGGCCCACTGTCATCGGCTACAGAATCCCACGTTAGAGAATGAGGAGGCTTACCGCAGCCTTCGCTCGGAGGTTGGGAGAGCCATGAGGCGCTGCAAGGATGGGTGGTGGTCGCGGGTTGCTGAGGAGATGGAGTCTGCCTCAGTGGCCCGCGATCACAAATCTCTATTTAACTCCATCAAAAAAGTAACCTGCAGCGCCACACCTATTACCATCATTAGGGTAAAAAACGGTGATCCAATCTCCGACCCCAAGGAACAGGTTTGCAGATTTGCTGAGCATTTCTGTAAGGTCCTGGGGGAGGGAAAATCCCTCAGCCAGGAAAACATCGTGGCACAAAGTGGGGATGACCCTGCTGAGGCTGCGGTGCCTCAAATATTGGAAGATGTCACCCCCTGTGAGTGGCTGGCTGAAGTGCCATCTGTTGAGGAAGTACTGAAGGCGATCCGGAGTCTGAGACCAGGAAAGACAGTGGGAGGAGATGATCTCCCAAGCGAAATGCTGAGGGAGGGTGGCGTTTGTGCACAGACTGCCCTATATGACATCATAACAACAGTCTGGACCACTGGACGGGTTCTGCAGGATTGGTGGTCCCCCTCTTTAAGAAGGGGGACCGCACAGACTGTAACAACTACAGGGGCATCTCACTCCTCAGTGTGCCGGGAAAGGTCCTGGCAAGGATTATTCAACATCGCCTTGCCAGGCACGCTGAGGAGAGGCTTGCGGAGCCCCAATGCGGTTTCAGGAAAGGGCGGTCCTGCACAGATGCCATATTTTCTGTCCGTCTGCTACAGCAGAGGTATAGGGAATTCCAGCAAGACCTACATCTCTGCTTTATTGACGTGGTCAAGGCCTATGATACCATCACTAGGCCTGGGCTCTGGGTTGTTCTTCATGCTTTTGGAGTCCCTGACCCTCTGCTCACGATCATTAAGGACCTTCATGATGGTGAACGGGCCCGGATATAACTACAAGGCCAGGAGTCAGAGCCATTCCCTGTACACCTTGGTGTGCGACAGGGATGTCCTCTGGCTCTCACATTATTTAACATCTATTTTGACCACGTACTTCGTGAAGCCTTCAATAGCTATAACGGAGGAATTTCCATCTGGTACAGATACAATGGGAGGCTGATCGATGCCCGGGTGCGGTCAAGGGATGGCTCCCTATTGCTCAACCACATTACGCATGCCGATGATCTTGTAATTGCTGCTCACTCAGAGGAGGAGTTGGAGGCGCTACTGCTGATGGTAAGGCCCCACCAAGAGGTGGGGCCTTACCATCAGCCCCACCAAAACTAAGCACCTGCCTGGGTATTTTGTACCATCGGACACTCTACCCCCGCAACTCCCAATCGGTGATGGGGCAGTTGTGGAGAGAGTGGAGAGTTTCCCATACCTGGGCAGTGTGCTTATGACCGGCCCCAGTTTAACAGCAGAGGTCTCTCTCCGAATCAGTCGAGCGGCAATATCTTTTCATCGGTTGCGTAATGCTGTGTGGAAGCTACCTGGTCTGTCGCTCCGCACTAAGCTTCAGGTCTTCTCGGCCATGGTCATTCCCTCCATTCTCTACGCTTGCAAAACGTGGACCCCCCTAATGGAACATCTTCGCCGGTTAGAAACATTTAGGCTAGCCTGCCTACGATCCATCCTGGGTTTAACCAGGCTGGATTGTGTGAGGAACTCACAAATCTGGGCAAGGTCCCATCGGTGAACTCCTCCGGCAGGCAAGGCTGCGTTGGCTGGGTCATGTAGCCCGCATGCCCAGCCACCGCATCGAGGGGGCTAGACGGGCGCGGCACGGGCTTGAGATGTGGTACAGGAGGACGTGGAGCTGAGTGGACTTGTCGATGACTGGTACCAGCGGTGTCAAGATCGGCCTCTGTGGAGGAGGCTCGTGAAGGACGCTACTGGGCAGTTGGAGGCAGTCGCCCTCCCACAACAACGGAGGGCGGAGGAGCGATGCTCACAACAACGAGCGGAGCGCCGGGTGGCTAAAGCACAGCAGGTTGGCACAGTAGGGGGCACAGGTGGTGCATCAGCCAGTCATCTCAGTCATCTTAGTCAGTCGACCCGTGGCACCTGGGTCTGCCCCGTGACCTCCTGCCAGCGGGCGTTCGACACTTAACGTGGCCTCAAGGTGCACATGGCCAGGCACAAGCATCGTGGTGACATCACCGCCACTTAGTTGCGACTGGCGGTTGTTGTTGTTGTGTTAGTGTGTGTTGAGTGTGTGTGTTGAGTGCCTTCATAGGTGCTCGCTAACAGCACTTGCCCCTACAGTCTGTTTAGGCTATACAGGGGATCTTTGTCTTTGTGTTGAGTGCCAGTGTGGGGAGCGGTAGTGTAGCTCTTAGCGCTTACGCTGCACTACGAACCTGGCTTCCCGAGTTCGATTCCCGCTCACGGCCAACACCGGTGACGATTATATGAACCGGTCCTAGGCCTCCCCTAGGTCAACTCAGCCTCACATGTGCACCTGGTGTAGCGGTGTGCAAACATCGCCACTGGGGAGACAAAAGTGGCCGGGCGTGGTGCTGGCCACCTACCCCCTTGTGTACCGTGCCGGCTTTCAAAGGTGCTCACTAACAGCACTTGCCCCAATAGTCTGTTAGAGGCTATACAGGAGAGAGGTGGCGGGGTGGGGGGGGGGAGAGGATCCTTTGTCTTTGTGTGTAACGTCTATTCAGAGTGTGAGTTCGTACCGATTCAAGGCAACTCAATTCATATCCCGGGCCACTATTCCGACTCTCCAGCCCTCTCGCCCGTCACCCACCGACCGCTATCGCCACCACTCAGAGTTCGCGCAACCGGACACAATTGAGCAGCAATGGGTGGCGGTGGCGGCGGCGGTGAATCGGCGCGGGCCCAGTCGCAGCGGTCTCCTCCGGGTGCCCAATTATTGGGATTCCTTTTTTTGCCGTTTCCCCGGCAACCCGCATCATTAGGGCGCATTTCACCCCGTGGTTCCGTCTATCCCACAGCCCCGTCCCCGCCCTGTCTCCTGCGCACGATGGCACCCCGAATCCCCCCTCCCCCAGCTCCAAAATTGGACGACTCTCGCCGAATCGGGGTGCCTCTGTGGGCAGATTAAGGGGGGAGGGGAGGTGGTGGGAGTGGGGGGCTGGGGGGAGGGCAGCTTCCGTGACCCGCTCGCTGTGTTTCCACGTGCACGCATCGTGCGTGCACTGAACCCCCATGTGTGTGTGTGTGTGTACGTGACTGCGTGTGTAGGGGAGAGGGAGTGTGGCGGTCAGCGCGCTGCGTAAACGAACCCGGAGACCCGACTTCCATTCCCGTTCACGGTCATAACCAGTGACGATTATCTGAATCGGTCCTGGGCATCCCCTGGGTCCACTCGGCCTCAAATGAGTACCTGGTGCGGTGTTGTCAACATCGCCACTCGTGAGAAAAGGCGGCCGAGTGTGGTGCTGGTCACCCACCCCCTCGTGTGCCGTGCCGGTAGCCTTCGTAGGTGCTCGCTAACAGCACTTGCCCCAACAATCTTGTTAAGGCTACACGGCGCCTTAGCCTGACTCTGTGATCCTCATGCAATAACCCTGAACCCTAAGAATCATACAGATCCCTTAGCCTGACTCTGTGATCCTCATGCAATAACACTGAACCCTGAGAATCATACAGGTACCTTAGCATGACTCTGTGATCCTCATGCAATAACACTGAACCCTGAGAATCATACAGGTCCCTTAGCGTGACTCTGTGATCCTCATGCCATTACACTGAACCCTGAGAATCATACACGTGTCTTAGCCTCACTCTGTGATCCTCATGCAATAACACTGAACCCTGAGAATCGTACACGTGTCTTAGCCTCACTCTGTGATCCTCATGCAATAACAATGAACCACAATAATCATACAGGTGTCTTAGCCTCACTCTGTGATTCTCATGCCATAACACTGAACCCCAATAATCATACAGGTCCCTTAGCCTGACTCTGTGATCCTCATGCAATAACACTGAACCCTAAGAATCATACAGGTGCCTTAGCGTGACTCTGTGATCCTCATGCAATAACCCTGAACCCTAAGAATCATACAGGTGCCTTAGCCTAACTCTGTGATCCTCATGCCATAACACCGAAACCTGAGAAATCCTACAGATGCCATAAGCCTGTTGATCTTTTGCTATTGTTCACTCGCGTGTAGCAGCCTGTGTCCATTTCAGCGGCAAACCCCGATCGCGTGCATTTGTCCGCGTGGTTGTTAACGCTGCCGTATCTGTGCTGCAGGAGCTGCGTTTGATGGGCAGCAGCAGCAGGGACGTTATCGACTGAAGGAGAAAGCAGTGAGTGCAGCAGTGAATCCACGGGCAGCAGATGCAGCAGCAGCAGCAGCAGTGACACGTGTCGGTTGGTATTGTTGTGAGGTCTGCTACTGGCAACCGCAGCGGTGGCCGTCAACTGTCGAAAGAGCAGCAAGAAGACGGCTTAAGAAGCAGGGATAGAGGCAACTTTGGCAACAGCAGCAAGAGGGTCGGAAAAAGGTGCAGCCACAACACCAGTAGGGAGGGCTGCAACAGCGTTAGGAGCCGCAGCAGCAGCTGTATCACTTGTAGCTTCAGTAACATTACCAGTAACATCATTATCAGCAGCAGCAGCAGCAGTGTTAGTACCAGCAGCAAAAAGCAGCAATTGTATTTGCTGCAGCAACAGTTCCAGGACTAGCATCAGCAGCATCATTATTGAGCGACAGCAGCCACAACAGTAGCAGCACTTTCCACAGCAGGAAGAGTAGCGGCATCATCAACAGCAGCAGGATCAATAGCCGCAGCAGCTTTAGTGGCAGGAGTATTATCAGCATCAACAGCAGCAGTCTCAGCAGCAGCAGCAGCTATCATCATCAAGAGCAGCAGCAGCAGCAGCTATAGTGGCTGCAGTGTCATCAACAGCAGCAGGATCAGCATCAGCAGGCGATGGGCAAGCAGAACAGCAAGCTGCGGCCGGAGGTGCTGCAGGACCTGCGCGAGAACACCGAATTCTCGGAGCACGAGCTGCAGGAGTGGTACAAGGGCTTCCTCAAGGACTGCCCCAGCGGCAGCCTCACGGTGGACGAGTTCAAGAAGATCTACGGGAACTTCTTCCCGTACGGCGACGCGTCCAAGTTCGCCGAGCACGTGTTCCGCACCTTCGACGCCAACGGCGACGGCACCATCGACTTCCGCGAGTTCATCATCGCGCTGAGCGTCACGTCGCGCGGCAAGCTCGAGCAGAAGCTCAAGTGGGCCTTCAGCATGTACGACCTGGACGGCAACGGCTACATCAGCCGGTCCGAGATGCTGGAGATCGTGCAGGTGAGTGGCCTCTTGCGAGCAACGAAGCCGCGGAAAGACCGAGAGGGGGGAGGGCGAGGTTGACGTCGTGACGGGTTTCTTGTTTTCTCTCGTTTCTGTTGCTCTGTTACCGACCCCATGCCCGCTCCCTTTCTGCCACAATGCGCACCAATCTCTGCTTTATTGAGAACGATATTGGCAGGTAAAAAAAATGAAAGATTGATCAATTGAGAGCCTTTTTTAGGCTGTGGCGCAGTGTCAAGGCTGCTGCCTCGCTAAGCCACTTCGTCGACAGAGGCCACGCACTCCGAGGTCAAGAGCTGACAATGTGACCTCGAGTCGGCCTTGAGGCCCGACGACCGGTCGGTCTCGAGGGCCCGAGGCTGCTGTCAAGGCCCCGCGGCCTTCACGCCTTGCCCGAATGCCATGACAGGCTCCGTACCATCCGCACACCCGCTCCTCCCCCCACCCTGGTTTCACGAGATGTCGAATGTTGGGATTATTTCCGTTTGGTCTTCGCTGGGAAGTCCGTCAAAGTCTTCGTTGCCACGTGGGAGTGAGCGCCTGTTCGGCTCGGCCATCGCTTCCACGTGAGACCAAACCCTGATATATTTTTCAGTCGGCCTAGGTCTATCAAAGCTGCGGTGTAAAGTGTAACGCATGGTCATCATTGTCATCTTCATGATCATCCCAGCAAGATTGAGACGCAGGGTTGCTAATCTTTCCACTGTAAACCAAACCCGGATAGAGCCCTAAGTCAGCTCTAGGTCTGTTATCAAAACTATGCCGGTAACTGCGATAAAGTTCTACACAGCAATACCATTACCAGATCTTGGTACAAATCAATTCCCGCTGCCACCCGAACACACACAAACCAATTTCCCGGACTGGTGGCAATCGTCCACACCATTGTTTTACAATTAACCTTGTGAGTGTGATTGGGGTCTGGACTCAAACCCACAACCTCAGCAGCTAAGGGGCTTGGGTCAGTAAACGCACGCTCTATCAATTGTATTCCCATTAACGATATCGGAGTCGTGTCATGAAATGGAGCGAATCTCCTTTGAAGCTGCATCGGCACTGAGAGAGCTTCTTGGGGGCCTCCCTAAAGGTGAAATAATTTTAGTGGGTGATCTAAATTGGAATTGGCTAAACCCGCCGGCCGCGGCCACAAATTTTACAGATGAATTTAACTTGGTTCAATTAATAAATGTCCCCACAAGACCCAACCTAAAAAAATCCGGGACAGTCAACTCTGCTTGACGTCCTATTGACAAATGCCCCTCACAATTTCGCACTGACTGGTGTTCTGGGTAATAACCTTAGTGATCACTCCTTCATTTTTGGTGTGAGATCATCAGCCAGACCCAAAGCCCCCTCTAAAATTGTTGAGAAGCACTCTTTGAGGCACTTCAGCACTCAGGCATTTACAAATGATGTGCTTCACTCAGATATTGATAAGGTCTGTGATATCCCCAACCTGACTACGGCTTGGGAGACTTTCAGGTACACGTTTCTCCAAATTCTTAACAAACATGCTCCGTTGGTTAGATTTAAAACTAAAGGCAACCGCCCAACATGGTATGATCCTTTGATTACAAAGCTCATGAAAACTAGGGACAAGGCTTGGGCATGTGCTCAGAAAAGTAATTTGGTAAATGACTGGCTAGAATACAGGATTTTAAGGAATAGATGCGTAAAAAAAATACGGCATGCAAAAAATGCCTATTTTTCCTCCACTCTCCTGGAATCACATGGAAATGCCAGGATTTTTTGGAAAACAATCAAATCTATCGAAAAGGCATCCAAAACAGAAAATCTGCCCGTTGAGCTTCACCAAAATGGGGAATATTTTTCAGATCCCAAAAAAATAGTTGACAATTTTAACCTGAATTTTTCTGAAGCTGGTAATCTTTTTGGTGATGTATTGGGAGTCACCCCTGCTCCTGCAAATTCCTACACACCTGTCCAAACATTAAACGAATTTAGTTTCCAACCAATCCACAAAAGTAATGTTCGGAAACAACTGTCCTACCTCAAAGGGTCCTCCTCTACCGGAGCAGATAGTTTTCCCGTCTTTGCTCTACTAACTGTTGGTCACCTAATATACAAACCTATAGCCCATATTTTCAACCTGTCCATCAAAGAAGCATCAGTTCCTCTAAAATGGAAACATTCCTATGTCCGTCCACTTCACAAAGGGGGCCCTAAAGATGATCCCAATAACTACCGACCTATCTCAATTTTGTCCCCATTGAAAAATTATTGAACTACCAAATTAGCAGTTTCCTGTCCACCAACAATCTACTACATCTAAAACAATCTGGGTTCCGGAAAAAATACAGCACCACATCTGCTGCATTATACTCTTTGAATCTAATTTACAATAGCCTTGATAATAAGCAGTACTGTGCCTGTCTTTTTCTTGACCTGTCCAAAGCTTTTGATACAGTTGACCACAACACCCTGCTTAGTAAACTAAGTTGCCTCGGTTTTTCCGAGAACACAGTACAATGGTTAAAAAATTACCTCTTTTCTCGCACCCAAACTGTATTCACAGATGGTTGGAGGTCAAACAGTGTTAAGATAACAAAAGGGGTTCCACAGGGTTCCATTCTCGGCCCCCTCTTGTTCTCTCTTTATGTCAATGACTTGGGCACTGAACTGGATCATTCCAGGGTAAATCTTTTTGCAGATGACACGATACTGATTACTGCTGGCCGCTCTCCGGATGACGTGATTGCTAAGCTCCAGGGTGATTTCAACAAACTACAACATCAGCTAGTTTCTCTTAAACTATTCCTGAATACCTCCAAAACCAAGGTGCTATGCTTCTCTCCGGGACTAAAGCAGGAAGTTATTTTTCCCCAATTATCATTCCTTGAATAATTATCAAATAGAGCAAGTCAAGATCTATAAGTATCTTGGGGTCATCCTGGATTCAAAACTTGGTTTTGAAGATCACATTGATTATATTGGTAAAAAGACAAAAATAAAAATTGGTTTTCTGTATCGACACAAGCACTGCTTCCCCCCAATGTTCCATTTGGAATTGATAAAAGCTACCATACTGCCTCTACTTGACTACTGTGACATCGTGTATAAATCAGCCCCAAGTACTGTACTGAAGAAGCTTGATTCCATCTATCACTCGGCCTTAAGATTTGCATTGAACTGCCCATATAGGACTCACCACTGTGATCTCTACATTGGGTCAAACTTAACATCTCTTAATGTTCGACGGCTTGTGCACCAGATCTTATTTATTCACGATGTACTTACAAAAAATTCCGCAGACTACCTACTGGATCTCCTCTCTGTTTCAAAGAACAAATTTGACCTCAGGTCTTCGCTCATTTACCAGCTTCACATTCCCTATTGCCGTACAAAAACTGGAGGAAGGGCCTTTGCTATTGATGCCCCTAGGGTCTGGAATGCTATTGCCAATAAACTGCAACTTGAATCACTACCTATGAGATCTTCACTCAAAACTGCTCTAGAGGAGTTGTACAACCCTAGCTGCCACTGCTATTCAGTGGCCTAAAATATGGCTCTAGATTTTGGTGTTATTATACATTTATGTAGTTTATTGTAAAAAATTCGGTCACAGTCCCTATGATCACTGTTACATTGGATTTACGGCTTTTATTTTGGTGATTTCGAAAAGTTTTTTTTTGTTTTGGCCATGTTTTTGTTTATTGTAGTACGGAGTTGACTGGTGGCCTTAATCTTAGTTGTCTTGTGGTTGTTGTTGTTATTTTGACTTGCATCCCACTGGGATTTTTGCACACAGCGTTGGTGTACGGTGCTATTTCAGGAATATTTTGATGTTTTTTTCCTGTATTTTCTGTTTGCACAGTCACACATAGTCACTTTAAGATGTTTTCTTGTTCATGTTTTTTGTTTGTTGCGGTTGCACCCGATTCAAGAGCCGAATGGCTCACAGGGCTATACCAAATAAATGAACTATGAACTTTGAACTCCTTTGGGAACTCTCGCAGCAAGCAGTGCACCACTTTGTGTAACAGCAACGGCCGCAGAAGACGATGTCGGTGAACTATTTCTGAAGTCTCTTCAGGCGAGATCCATGTGGCTGACGGGGAGCGCGTGCCACGTGCCAATCAACCCAAGGGGTTTTTTTTTTTAAAGCGTCGGAAATTCAGTTACAATCCCCGAGGTTTGTTTATTTTGTCGCCATCAACTCGGCAGCCATCAACTCGGCAGCCTTTAGTTTGTGTTGTCCTCTCCGAGCACCTCCGATTAGCACGGTTGGCTACGTACGGCGCGAAATAAGTTCAACGTACACGCATGAAACTCACTGCGCTTGAGAACCCAGTTTTTGTTTTTAACGGGCTGGGGATTTGTTCAGTGTCTCTGGCAATGAATTAATCGCCTCTCGTCTAGCCGGGCCACGATGCTCGGCACATCTCGAAGGAGGCGCGTCGCTCGGCCTCCCTCTCGCCGACACTTCCTCTCCTCAAAAATAGAATCCCTTGTGTTGCGTCTCGTTTCCTTTGCTCCAGGAAATCTCAAGGCGAGCGCGGAGAGGTGGGGTCGAGGGAGGAGGTGGAGGGAGACTTGAGGGGGGGGGGGGAAGCGGCAGGAAGGGGAGACGGCGGTGTTACAGTGAATGAGTGCGGGATGTGCGTCTTGCTGCCCCGGTATGCATGGAGAGGTTCAGGTGCAGCCCTGCAATTGCTCCGCTCACCCCCACCGCTGGCGGAATGGCCTCCATGAGAGGGAGCTCCAAAGGGGCCCTCCATTTGGGTTCGTTTTGGCGGCCTCCTCTTCCGGCCTACTACGCTGGCCAGACGTCGATGAAGATGTGGAAGTAGCCGCATCTTAATCCCTCCACACGTGGCCTGCCGATCAACTCGTTGATGGCTGGATAGAGACCGGAGTTGGTGGGGGGGGGGGGGGTCAGGACAGGGTGGGGGAGGGGGGGAGGTTTAAGAAACGTGCCCCCATCGTTAAAACCGCCGTGGTGCCAGGTCGAATTGAACCAGCGACGTCTGGATTGC